CAAACTTCTGGGCCTCTGGCTGACAAATGAGCTTGTTGAGCCTCCCTTCCTGATACCACACATCTGCAGGCAAGGGACTCATAGTATTACAAACAAGGGCTCAATGCTGCTGGCGGCAGCTAGCGTGACGTCTGCGGGGATGGACATAAGAAGCAAATCCAGGTTGCCAGATCAAGCTGCGATTCCGTTTGTTATTGAAAGCGCCCGTTGATTGATCACTGGAGAAGACCCACGCCATAGTAGTGGAGAGGAGCACTCATGGAGAGACTTTTAACTTTATTTTGCGGTCCAGAAAGGCAGCGGAGGTAGTTGGAGGAGCTGTCGCAGCCTGGATGTCACTACCCCCTGTGGGGAATGCAGAGGTGGACTGTACAATGTTGCTAGAGGGGGCAAGGATTTCACCGGCGGCCTTTCCCACCAGTTGAAACTGTAATTCCAATTCTTCATCCTGCAATGTCCATGCCACATTAGGTATCAAAACTGTATCACTATGTGTTATAATGGAAACAATGACGAGGAGTGGATCAAAACTGCTCCCGAAAAAGGAAACAAAACAAAAACAAAAACAATGGACATCTTCAGCGTCTTTCCATACTACTAGGCCGAAAAAAAAAAAGAATGTGTCGACGATGGCAGGTTTATCATCATCATGCAAAATGGCAGCCCGTCATCAAAGAAAGAGAGATGACCAACTTCGAGCATCTTACAGCCACAGGTTAATCTGGAAGTTAGTTGACCGTCCGGGTTACTTTCGAGTTACCAACATATGAAAGGATTTTCACTTTGCAAACCCCAAATCGAGTCCCAGGGTCAAAGTCCCCAAGTCTAAAAGAGGCCTAAGAGGCCGAAAGTCGCGCTGGGTACCCCAAAGGCCAGACAGGTCAAATTTCAACAGGTACCCGGCCTCAAAGTCAAGTCCCACAGTCCAAATGCAGCAGCGCTCCAAGAAAAGTCTGGAAGGTACCGGGCCTCAAATTTCTAAACTGCAAACAGGCCGTGGGTGACCGGTACCAGCCAAAGTCAAGCCAAGGCCAAGTGAAGTCAAGGCCCAGTCCAGCCAACATAAAAGGACATGAGAAGGTGGAAGCGCTGTTGGCTGCTTGTGCGCTATCGCGGGTTGACTGTGCGCCAGAGAGCCCCGCTGGGCGGGGTAAAGCTGTGAAGACAGGCGGCCATTGCCACTGTAGTAGTACTTGTAGTAGAGCACTAATAGGAAGGCGGATGTATCCAGGGTTATGATCCTCATAGTAAGAAGGCAGAAGAGAGAGAGAGAGAGAGAGAGAGAGAGAGAGAGAGAGAGAGAGAGAGAGAGAGAGAGAGAGAGAGAGAGAGAGAGAGAGAGAGAGAGA